AAACAGAATAGAAATTAAGTTTATGTACCAAAACAAAAAGTTTGAGATGAACACAAAGGACACAACACTAGAAAAGATATCTAATGCAAAAATATTTTCCTGTTGCAACTTCTATTTGGGATATGCAAGTTGGAAAGGTCAAGGTTTAAGAGTTGATAAAACTTTAGTGTAGTGTTGGCATGGAAGTATTGCCACTAAGCTAGAAATAATTTTGACATATGTATAACAAAATAAAACGTTATGTTGACATTTTAGATAAATTAGTGAGATAATACGTGTCAGAGAAGCACGAAGGAGATTTTCAAATGCGACGTATCCAATAATAGAAGCTTCTGGAGTGAGTGGTCATAAACTTAGTAAATGTTAGACAACATTGATCAATTACTTGATTTGATCACTACATCTCTAAACTTTTTGCATTATTTCCTATTAAAGAAACGATGTATAAAAGTGACACATTGCTTGATACTTAAAATTCAGTCTTTTTGATCCCCTACAAGTCTCCGTCCAGTCTCTTCCTTCTCTTTCTAGTCTCTATTCAACCTCCTTCTTCTGATACTAATCTTCTTCCTACCTTTCCAGCCTCTGTTCATTCTATATTGTCAATGATCAACCTTTTTGACTTTTCATGCAGTTTCGCGGGAGGCTTAGGTCCAACAGTGGACGAAAAAGAAGCTATAGAGAGATTAAATTCTTCTATTACCATTCTGTTTTTAAGGTCAAACTCCTCTGCTAAGTCTCTTTGTTGTCTAGTTAGTTTATGCTCATCTTCTTTCTTTTGTCACCAATTTTCTTAAAGTTTTTCCGGTCTCTGTTCAATTTTTTTCTTTTACTATCAATCTTTCTATTGATTTTTCAGCCTATGTTCAATCACTTTCTTCCATTCTACTTCTAGTCTATATCTTAGTTCACATCTAAGACCTTACCACTATCGCCAAGGTTTTTTTGTTCTTTTTTCAGTTTCTCTTCAATCTTTTTCTTCTGATATTAATCTTTTTCCTACTTTTTCAGTCTCTATTCCACCCTTTTCTTTTGTTACTAATCTTCTCTTTGTATTTACAGCCACTGTTCAATAGCTTTCTTCTATTACCAGTCTTTTTCCAATCTCTTACCCATCTGACCAGTTTTTTTTCTTGCCTCTCCAGTCTTTACTTAATCTATTTTGTCAATTATCAGTGTGTTTTTAGTATTTCTCTTGCTTGCTTAGCCTTTTTCTGGTAATGCGTTTCTTTCTGCTTTACCAGTTTCTAGTGACCCTTATTTTCCTCTATTATATTTATTGTTACTCTTTTCTGATTGCATCTTCTTTCCAGTCGCTACTTAATTGCTTATTTCTATTACCAGTTTCTTTCCAAGCTCTCACACCTTTGCCCAGAAGAGACTTTGTTCTCTATTTACTCTCTGCTCATTCTTTTCTGTTCCCAATCTTCTTCCTGGTTTTCCAATTTCTGCTCAACCAGTCTTCTCTTACCAATATCATTTTTATTGCATTTACAACATCTGATTAATCATTTTCTTCTATTACTAGTTCGTTTATTCTCTCTCTTTTGCTACTAATTTCTTTCTTTTCCTTTACTTTCTCTTCTGTCTGCCCAGTCTCTCTCTAGTCATTCCAGTCATTTCTTTTCTTTTATAGTCTCTTTCTTCTGTTAAGCTGGTGTTTATTTAACCACTTTTTTTACTACCAATCTTCTTACTGTCTTTCCAGACCTTACTTAATTGCTTATTTCTATTACCAGTTTCTTTTAAACCTCTTACACCTCTGCCTAGAAGAGACTTTGTTCTCTATTTACTCTTTGGTCATTCTTTTCTGTTCCCAATCTTCTTCCTGGTTTTCCAATTTCTGCTCAACCAGTCTCTTCTCTTCCCAATACCATTTTTATTGCATTTACAACATCTGATTAATCATTTTCTTCTATTACTAGTTCGTTTATTCTCTCTCTTTTGCTACTAATTTCTTTCTTTTCCTTTACTTTCTCTATTCAATTCTTTTTCTGTCTGCCCAGTCTCTCTCTAGTCATTCCAGTCATTTCTTTTCTTTTATAGTCTCTTTCTTCTGTTAAACTGGTGTCTATTTAACCCTTTTTTTTATTACCAATCTTCTTACTCTTTCCAGACCTTACTTAATTGCTTATTTCTATTACCAGTTTCTTTTAAACCTCTTACACCTCTGCCCAAAAGAGACTTTGTTCTCTATTTACTCTTTGCTCATTCTTTTCTGTTCTCAATCTTCTTCCTGGTTTTCCAATTTCTGCTCAACCAGTCTCTTCTCTTCCCAATACCATTTTTATTGCATTTATAATATCTGATTAATCATTTTCTTCTATTACTAGTTCGTTTATTCTCTCTCTTTTGCTACTAATTTCTTTCTTTTCCTTTACTTTCTCTATTTAATTCTTCTTCTGTCTGCCCAGTCTCTCTCTAGTCATTCCAGTCATTTCTTTTCTTTTATAGTCTCTTTCTTCTGTTAAACTGGTGTCTATTTAACCACTTTTTTTACTACCAATCTTCTTACTGTCTTTCCAGACCTTACTTAATTGCTTATTTCTATTACCAGTTTCTTTTAAAGCTCTTACACCTCTGCCCAAAAGAGACTTTGTTCTCTATTTACTCTTTGCTCATTCTTTTCTGTTCCCAATCTTCTTCCTGGTTTTCCAATTTCTGATCAACCTGTTTCTTCTCTTACCAATATCATTTTTATTGCATTTACAACATCTGATTAATCATTTTCTTCTATTACTAGTTCGTTTATTCTCTCTCTTTTGCTACTAATTTCTTTCTTTTCCTTTACTTTCTCTATTTAATTCTCTTTCTGTCAGCCCAGTCTCTCTCTAGTCATTCCAGTCATTTCTTTTCTTTTATAGTCTCTTTCTTCTGTTAAACTGGTGTCTATTTAACCCTTTTTTTTATTACCAATCTTCTTACTCTTTCCAGACCTTACTTAATTGCTTATTTCTATTACCAGTTTCTTTTAAACCTCTTACACCTCTGCCCAGAAGAGACTTTGTTCTCTATTTACTCTCTGCTCATTCTTTTCTGTTCCCAATCTTCTTCCTGGTTTTCCAATTTCTGCTCAACCAGTCTCTTCTCTTCCCAATACCATTTTTATTGCATTTACAACATCTGATTAATCATTTTCTTCTATTACTAGTTCGTTTATTCTCTCTCTTTTGCTACTAATTTCTTTCTTTTCCTTTACTTTCTCTATTCAATTCTTTTTCTGTCTGCCCAGTCTCTCTCTAGTCATTCCAGTCATTTCTTTTCTTTTATAGTCTCTTTCTTCTGTTAAACTGGTGTCTATTTAACCACTTTTTTTTACTACCAATTTTCTTACTCTTTCCAGACCTTACTTAATTGCTTATTTCTATTATCAGTTTCTTTTAAACCTCTTACACCTCTGCCCAGAATAAACTTTGTTCTCTATTTACTCTTTGCTCATTCTTTTCTGTTCCCAATCTTCTTCTTGGTTTTCCAATTTCTGCTCAACCAGTCTCTTCTCTTCCCAATACCATTTTTATTGCATTTATAACATCTGATTAATCATTTTCTTCTATTACTAGTTCGTTTATTCTCTCTCTTTTGCTACTAATTTCTTCCTTTTCCTTTACTTTCTCTATTCAATTCTTTTTCTGCCTGCCCAGTCCCTTTCTAGTCATTCCAGTCTTATTTCCAGTTCTAATATATGTTCAACTTCTTTCTTCCATTAACATTCTTCTTGCATTTTTAGTCTGCCTTCCGTTTAGACTCATGCCTTTCAGCTCAAGCTGTTCCTTCTTTCTCCAATCTTTCTTAGTTCAAGTCTTACACCTTTTCTGCAGCCTCTTCCTTCATTATTAAGTTTCTGTACAGACTCTTCCTTCTACTAACCGTCTCATTGCAACTTTCTTATTCTCTGCTTACTAGTATCTTCCTTGCCTTTACACTATCTATCCAATTTCGAATGGAATAACGATGTTTCCATACTCAATATGAAGGATTATTGCGAAATATATTTAAAATAGATTCATTTATTAACCGGGACTAAATTTTTTTCTCTCATTTCATCATTGTGTCTAGTACAGAATGGTATAGAAGAGAGAGTAGTCGCCTTAAAACGGCCCGAAGCTTTGTGTTTGCAAATTACGCCATTATTCTCTCCGAAGCATTTTTACACGCGCGTCCGTTTTATCTCGCCCACCCTGTATTTCTTCTCCCTTTGCCACCCCGCTTTTAAAAAGAGGCTCGCCGTTTTTGTTGTCTCCCCATCCGAGGCTATTTATAACCTCACTTTCCGCGAGCGACACGAGAGCAAACCGCGAAAAATCAATATCTCTAGGGGTCAAACGCTTTTCTGCATTTTCCAACACTGCCGTTGTTTTTCTTCCTTATTCGTTTTTTAATAAAGAATTTTGATTTTATTATTTTCGCACTGGGAAAGTCGTTAGAATGAGAACCTTGAAAGGGATGCGATTCTTTTTAATTCCCGGATAGCAGGGGTTTTAAGGGTAGATGGAAACAGGGTTAGTAACTTATAAAACTCCTTAATCGAATGAGTTAAAACCCTCGGTCAATTTCGCGCTCGAAGACTCCCTCTTTTCGTTTATTTTTCAAGTTTGGCCAAGACATGTTAGATTTTTTTGCCCCTTTTCGAAATTGTAAGGAAAACACTTAATTTCGACCGGTTGAATTTCAATTAGCTCGAGAATTTTGCAAAATTAAAATCGATTCCTTTCATTGCCTTTTTATTACTACTCGGGAATGAAATTAAACGATAAAGATTATAGTCACATTGCAATTATGTAATAATGTTGTTGAATGTTATCCCATAATTGCCATAACAAAAATTTCAATAAATTGTTTCGCAATAGATAACGAGTAATCCACTATAAAAATTGATACCATATAAAAATAAATGTTATTGCAAATTTGAATTAGATAAAAAGTTTTACAATTTTTTTTTAAGTATATAAGAAGAAATTTTTTGCCGAATTCATCATAATTGATCTTGAAGAAGTAGGAGAATGAGGACAATTCTATTAGTAGCTCTTTTGAGCATTTCAGGTAAAACAAAAAAATTAATCCATCAAAAACTCGTTAAAACAATTTTTTGTAATTAGGTCTTAGCGCCTTCACCTTAACCAGAGACGTCCCAAAAGATGTCGTTGCTCAAGTTTTACCAATCTTGGGTGGAGAATCCCCTGAAGAAGCCCCAACAGCCGAAACTCTTCCAATCATTGGTGGAGAAACCCCATCTTTAGAGATCGGAAATCTCCCATCGCTTGGAGATCTTTTCCCTGTTATAGATGAAACTGAGTCTTTAGTTCCGGTGAATCCCATCATTGAAGGTGGCGAAACCCCAACGATCGAAGTTGGAAATCTCCCATCGATTGGAGATCTTTTCCCAAGCATTGACGAAACTGGATCTTTAGTTCCAGTAAACCCCATCATCGAAGGTGGCGAATCCCCAACCATTGAAATCGGACACTTACCATCCATCGATTGGAGTTTAATTCCATGCCAAATTCCAGAAGACATCTTGAAACCACTTCCAATCCCAATCGAACCAGAAGAAATCGAAGTTGTTCCATCTCCACTTCCACTCCCAATTAATCCAGGAGATTTCGAACAAGGAGTTGAAATCAATCCAAACCCACTCCCACTTCCAATCGAACCAGAAGAAATTGAAGTTGTTCCATCCCCACTTCCACTCCCAATTAATCCAGGAGATTTCGAACAAGGAGTTGAAATCAATCCAAACCCACTCCCACTTCCAATCGACCCAGAAGATGGAAACATCCAAATCAACCCACTTCCTCTTCCACTTCCACTTCCAGAAGAAGAAGTCGAGTACATCGAACAACTCCCAATCGTGATCAAACCACAACCTCTCCCACTTCCAATCAACCCAATCGTACCTGAAATTGAAGTTGAATTGGTTCCTGAACCAGTAGTTCCAGAAATGCCAGAAATCGAATGGTTGCCAGAACCAGAAGGTGGAAACACTTTACCAGTAAACCCCTTACCATTACCACTTCCAATCGACCCAATCGTACCGGAAATGCCAGAAATTGAATGGTTACCACAAGTTGAAAATTGCGATGATGATGATGAAGAAGATCACGATGATGTTAAAATCATCACTCCTGGATTTTCCGGACAAACTATTATTCGTTAAGAGGATTAAGAGAAATTAAAAAAAAAATTGTAATGTTTTAGTTTTCTACACAGTAAATATACATAACTTGCAGATTTTAAATATTAATGTTCTTTTTTTTTAATTTTTAACGAAATGAATTTTTGATTCCCTCCGGTGGGATGTAAGATAAAGTCTTCTATTTGCAAGAGGGCGGAGGTTAAATTAGGACGGGGTAAACATGTTGACTTCAAGATTTATCCGTGGATAGGGAGAAGGGAAGGATTGCGACGAAGCTTTGGTGCGGTTTTGCTTAAGATACTCCAAAAACTAATTATCCAATTAACTATCTCCATTTCTCTAAAATCAGTAACCTTCTAGATATCGTAATTTAACCTGAATTTCTACAGTACAGTAAAACTAGGGTATCACAGCCAAAAAGCCGTTGTAAGAAAAATTATTAACAATCTAAAGCTGAATAACAATTAAAACTAGAACTAGTTTTCGAACGAGGTTCGTCATATCGAAGTTATAGGAGTCTTCTGATACAAGTTGTAAAGTCGGTTTTATTACTCTTAATATCGTTGATATTAGCTTCTGTATACGATATGGTAACAATGTAGCGCTTCGGCCGCAAACGACCTTGGCTTTATTACCATAGACATAATTGAGAAGTGATTACTTTCTGCATGCAATATACAGGGTGATTTATTAGCACACCATGAAACTTTGACATATAATAGCTAATCCAATTACCAAAAAAAATTTTAATGGACATATGTCCTATTTCAATTATTTACGAAATTATAACACTTTAAAGTTTTCTGCAAAAGCTATTCGACCGCATGTAGTTAATGTAGTGGACATAGAAGCTGTAATTAATGCTGTCAGTGATAATCCTTCCATCAACACACAACATACACGTAAGGCAAAATTTTGCATGGCGAGTATTAAACCGCGAAGTCCTTCATCCGTATTACACGAGATGATATAAATAATTACCATAATGAACATATCTGGGCATTACAAAATCCGCATGCTATTAGACCAAGGAAATTTAAACAACGTTTGGGGTGGAATATTTAACAACAATTTACTAGGTTTGCATGTACTTGATGGACGTTTGAACTCTATAAATTACAGATTTTGTTTGAACAATACACTTTTTGATTTACTTGAAGATATGCCTCTAAAGGCCGGTTGTACTATATACCGATAAATCTACCCGATATCTATCCGGCCGATAAAGATATTCGCTGTTGTACATACTGTTTTTGTCGATAGGATTGCTATCAGCGAAATAAGAGCCGGTTGGTAGCAGTTTTTCCCCAAATCTAGTGATTTATGCCGTAAAATGGTAAAGCTAACGTCTTTATTTGAAGTTTGAATTATGATTTTGACAATAATTACTGTTTAAAAAAATTTCACAACAGACAACTAACACATCGTACATATAGGGTTAACGTTTAATGTTATAGGTTAACCTATGCAGTAACCATACAAAGGTTTTATATAAAAACCTTGGTAACCATAAATATCTGGCGGATAAGTGTCTTATCGGCACCGCTGAAGTTATCCTGCCGATAATCTCACCGACAAAAATAACCAAATAATACAGTATAAACTAACTTATCTGCCAGATAACGCTATCGGGAAGTTTATCTTAATGTGATTCAAAATATTTCCAAATAACTGGATTAGTAATAATGGTCCATTTGGTTGGCCAAATGAAACAAATTGTGTATCAAGTGAAAATTAACACACGAGAACAGTTATTAAACAGAATACAAATGGCTGCTACTGAAATAAGAAATCTACCAGACATTTTAATTCGGCTGAAGAACTTTTTAATTCGTCGTTGTGAAGCATGTATTCTAGCAGAGGATGTAGCAGTTAATTATGATATAAAAATTAAAACTTTAAAGTGTTATAATTTCGTAAATAATTGAAATAGGACATATGTTGATTAACATTATTTTTTTGGTAATTGGAGTAGCTCTCATATGTCAAAGTTTGATGGTGAGCTAATAAATCACCCTGTAGTATCAATGTAATGCCTCGGCCGCAAGCGACCTCGGCTTTATTGCTCTTGATGTCGTTGAGAAATGGTTAATTTTTGTATACGATATGATACAAAGTAGTGCCTCGCCCGCAAGCGACCTCGGCTTTATTACCCTAAATATAATTGAGAAGTGAGTAGTTCTGCATGCGATATGGTATCAATGTAGCACCTCGGCCGCAAGCGACCTCGGCTTTATTACCCTATATATAATTGAGAAGTGAATAGTTCTGCATGCGATATGGTATCAATGTAGCGCCTCGGCCGCAAGCGACCTCGGCTTTATTACCCTAAATATAATTGAGAAGTGAGTAGTTCTGCATGCGATATGGTATCAATGTAGCGCCTCGGCCACAAGCGACCTCGGCTTTATTATTTTTGATATCGGTAGGAAGTGGTTAATTTTTATATACGATATGATACAAAATAGTGCCTCGGCCGCAAGCGACCTCGGATTTATTACTCTTGATATCGTTAAGAAGTGGTTAATTTATGTATAGTAGAAACCACGAGAGCTGGCAGTGACAGATCGCTTAAAAATGGTATGAATCAAGATATGGACGTACGACTTAGATTATTTCACCACATACATTTAAATGTAGGTTATGTTAGTAATAGAGGTTATATGTCAAACATTGTCAAAGATATTATTTAATGATTTTCCTTTCAAAGAAAACATTTTCGGTTTGTGAAAACACTGACAGATTCATGAGAATGCTCACAAGACGTTTCGATTTGAGGTTATAATTATAGAGTTACATCCCTTAGAAGAACAGACATACTTTTTCGACGTGGCCATTTGAATTGTACAGTAGACATATTCAACTAATGCTATCTCTTTCTAACACACATTACTCTCTAGCGGTTTGTGAACTACGTATGGCATATGTAAGAGCAGAAAATGATGATTTACTGCCAGCTCTCGTGGCGTCTACTATACACGATATGGTATCAATGTAATGCTTCCGCAAGCGACCTCGGCTTTATTACCCTAAATATAATTGAGAAGTGAATAGTTCTGCATGCGATATGGTATCAATGTAGCGCTCCGGCCGCAAGTGACCTCAGCTTTATTACTCTTAATATCGTTGAGAAGTGGTTAATTTTTATATACGATATGATACAAAGTAGTGCCTCGCCCGCAAGCGTCCTCGGCTTTATTACTCTTGATATCGTTGAGAAGTGAGTAGTTCTGCATGCGATATGGTATCAATGTAGCGCCTCGGCCGCAAGCGACCTCGGCTTTATTACTCTTGGTATCGTTGAAAAGTAGTTAATTTTTTTATACGATATGATACAAAGTAGTGCCTCGCTCGCAAGCGATCTCGGCTTTATTACTCTTGATATCGTTAAGAAGTGGTTAATTTGTGTACACCACATGGTATCAATGTAATGCCTCGGCCGCAAGCGACCTCGACTTTATTGCTCTTGATATCGTTGAGAAGTGAGTAGTTCTGCATGCGATATGGTATCAATGTAGCACCTCGGCCGCAAGCGACCTCGGCTTTATTACCCTAAATATAATTGAGAAGTGAATAGTTCTGCATGCGATATGGTATCAATGTAGCGCCTCGGCCGCAAGCGTCCTCGGCTTTATTACTTTTAATATCGTTGAGAAGTGGTTAATTTTTATATACGATATGATACAAAGTAGTGCCTCGCCCGCAAGCGTCCTCGGCTTTATTACTTTTGATATCGTTGAGAAGTGAGTAGTTCTGCATGCGATATGGTATCAATGTAGCACCTCGGCCGCAAGCGACCTCGGCTTTATTACTCTTAATATCGTTGAAAAGTGGTTAATTTTTATATACGATATGATACAAAGTAGTGCCTCGACCGCAAGCGACCTCGGCTTTATTACTCTTGATATCGTTGAGAAGTGAGTAGTTCTGCATGCGATATGGTATCAATGTAGCGCCTCGGCCGCAAGCGACCTCGGCTTTATTACTCTTAATATCGTTGAAAAGTGGTTAATTTTTATATACGATATGATACAAAGTAGTGCCTCGACCGCAAGCGACCTCGGCTTTATTACTCTTGATATCGTTGAGAAGTGAGTAGTTCTGCATGCGATATGGTATCAATGTAGCGCCTCGGCCGCAAGCGACCTCGGCTTTATTACTCTTAATATCGTTGAGAAGTGGTTAATTTTTATATACGATATGATACAAAGTAGTGCCTCGCCCGCAAGCGTCCTCGGCTTTATTACTCTTGATATCGTTGAGAAGTGAGTAGTTCTGCATGCGATATGGTATCAATGTAGCACCTCGGCCGCAAGCGACCTCGGCTTTATTACTCTTAATATCGTTGAAAAGTGGTTAATTTTTATATACGATATGATACAAAGTAGTGCCTCGACCGCAAGCGACCTCGGCTTTATTACTCTTGATATCGTTGAGAAGTGAGTAGTTCTGCATGCGATATGGTATCAATGTAGCGCCTCGGCCGCAAGCGACCTCGGCTTTATTACTTTTAATATCGTTGAGAAGTGGTTAATTTTTATATACGATATGATACAAAGTAGTGCCTCGCCCGCAAGCGTCCTCGGCTTTATTACTTTTGATATCGTTGAGAAGTGGTTAATTTTTATATACGATATGATACAAAGTAGTGCCTCGCCCGCAAGCGACCTCGGCTTTATTACTCTTGATATCGTTGAGAAGTGGTTAATTTTTGTATAATATGATATGATACAAAATAGTGCCTCGGCCGCAAGCGACCTCGGATTTATTACTCTTGATATGGTTGAGAAGTGGTTAATTTTTGTATACGATATGATACAAAGTAATGCCTCGCCCGCAAGCGACCTCGACTTTATTACTCTTAATATCGTTCAAGTGCTTAATTTCTATATGCGATAGAATATCAAACTAGTGCCTCGGCCGCAAGCGACCTCGGCTTTATTACTCTTGATATCGTTGAAATGATATCAAAGTATATATTGATACAAAGTAGCGCTTAAATTAGGTTAGAATGCGGTTTT